TTTGATAAAAGAATCACCCTGTATTGTTATTTAATATTATTGTTTGTTATTTCAAATGTTTAATTGGAATTATCTTTTTGGAAACCATACACTATCTATTGAATTAATTAAAATATTCAAATCATTACTATGATAATTTTTAATCATTAAATCACTAAATCAGGAATAATTACAATTTCCCAGAGTATTACCTACCTAACTCCTATAATATGTTATTTTAATATTATCTATAATATCCTATCGTATTAAAGTAAATGTCTAAAAAATCTGAGCAAGTGTGTACTGATCTGCTGTACATGAAGTGTCATGTGGGCTACTACTAAAATGAATGTATTAAATTTAAGATCAATGATACAAAATCATTATATACAAAAAACTGTTCTGAGCAAAAACAGACTTTTAGCCTATAAAAATATTACCAATCATATTTTTTGATAGGTATTGTACTATAATAGTACTACTATTATTTATTTTACTGGTATTAGTACGATGATAGGTTAATTTCATTTTTGCCAAAAAATTGCATTTTAAAATGTGACTGTGTGTATAAAATAAAATAATACCCTTTAAAAGTTTATAAATAAAAAAAATCGTGCCTATACATTTTTTATATTTATCATTTGCTATTATAACAACTTAAAAGAAACCTTTTATCAATTTTTCTTGGTCTTTGATATGACAAATAAAATAAAATTAAGGTAAGCTTTTTGTTATACGCAAAAAAAAATTTATGGCAGATCTTGATTAAAATTTTTTATTGTTAGATATACGAAGAATATTTTTTTATGAATTTCTAACTCAAATTCTATCCCAAAATAGTTTGTGTATTTTCTTGGTTTTGATGAATTTGGCAAAATTTTAACTTCAGACTCATATTGAGGATTTGCCCTAAATTTTTTTTTTAATTTCCATTAACAATTTATGAGGAACTGTACGATTTTTAAGTTTTTTGACTGATAACTGGGACATTCTTCTTTAACCTTCCTATAGTTCTTTAGAAGAGGACGTTACCATCCATGCTTTTGTTGTTTATGTTTTACTCACGTACAACGTAAAAAAATTTCGTTCACTATAGTTTCAATAGTATGCTGTAAGTTTTGATAGACTTGATAGAGTGAATTTATTTATCATTAAACTTTTTAAGTAAGAAAATTATCTGTGCTTTAATATTTTATTCGATATTTGAATATTTCACATACCTACTCATTTCTTGATTCAAAATTAAAACATCGAAATAATTCCCTACGATTAACCACGGATAATGTTATAAAATAAATTGTACTCTGCATCAACATTTTCCAAGTTGTATATAGGTAATGTTTGTAAAACGGGACCAAAAACACATGGGTATAGCGTCTTCTTTGGAGGACGTCGTACCACTTGTATCTGTTGAATATTATTGTCAACGTCTTTCACACACATATACACATACAATTTGACAAATTTCCGTTTACCAGTTTAAATAGTTGTCGTGTTTTGATATTAGAATAAATTGACCTTCTATCAAATTTTTAGGTAAGAGCTTTGTGTAATTACCTAGCTAATATATATTATTATTTGATATGATACTCAAGTTTTAAAATTAATTTCCACGTAAATAAATGGTAAACCTCGTTGTAAACATAATTTTGATTTAATTATAATAT